CACCCTAAAGCCCGCCTGACTGCATCATCAGAGAGTACACTGCTACCCAGGAACGTTCCCTTGCTCTGTTTTGCCTAAGCTGTTATTTCTCACTTGCAGTGCTATCCTAATTTTTTGCTTTTATTAATGCTGACATATTTCTTAGTCATTTTCTTCCCTCCCAGGTCGTCCATGTTTAGTCCTTTTTAACCTTTCTGTGTAGATCAGTGCTTCCCAGTACTATGAATAAATAAAAGCCTTCTGTTCTCATCAACAAAATGGTCTTTTAACAGTTGCAAGAACAACATAGCAATCACTTCAAAAGAAAAAAACCCCAACTAATATTTGATGAATTTTAAAATCTCCAGCTATTCTTCTACTTTTTAAAAATAAGTGCTTTGTTAAATAGAGAAACCAGTGAGAAAATTAACGGGGAGCACAAGCAGCAGTAGGTGTCTGAGAGGGACCTGCTAACCCATCACAAATGCTCACCATAAACAAAGTAGCAGTGGGTCTAAAAAAGAAAGCGGAACTTCAGTTAGAAACATCTAAGGAATACGAATAAGCTGTTAGAGCTGCAACCTTTCCCTTTACTTTGATCTGACATTACACATAACCTAAGACTCAGAAATCCACCAGCTTCAAAGAGGGTTAAAGAGTAGGAGGTCTCCATGCACCAGGACAGGTAGAGGTTTTATTCGGCCTGGAGAGAGAGGGTATTTTGAGGTGCTGCCATCAAGCAAATCTAAAGGCTAGAAACTGCTGCATGGTTAGAGCTAAAAATTTCACCTTTCTTCCTCATCTTTTTATAAGACAGCCACATCACCCATAAGAAGCACAAGCAAGTCCAAGTGAAAAAGAGGGATTGTGCTACTATTATTGAAAAGCATAAGAGATAAATACATTTTTGTAACGCTTGCATCTTGGAAATGCTTTTGTAATTGCTATTAGTTGACAGCTGCTTTTGAAGGTGAAACTGTGGTTGTTCTGTGTTCTGGCCATGTAACACTACCGAAGGGAACAAGAGCTCAGCAAATGAAATGTTACAGGACCTGAGATGAGGATAGTTGGAACATCTTGTGCTTTAACAACCAAAAATGCGTTGGTTCTCATACAAGAAAGCAAAGCCACACTCACTATCCTTTACTTTTATTTTCTTTGGCTTTTAGCTTTACAGATCCCTAAAAATACTGCATTATAACTAAAGCTAGTTTCCCAGGCTGCAATCTGTCTACAACTTACTGATGAATTATAATATCGCTTCAGTTTCATGAATCTCCCAAGGGAATTCCTTCTAAGAGGGCTTTCATAAAGTGATTGCCAATAACCTAATAAATCGTTTTCTGTCTCTTTTTCTATCAGAATTTTGAAAAAACTTTAATTTCCACTTATGAGTTCTACTAGAGATAGACAATACAGAAAACTTATCAATATTACACCATTTCCATCTGAAATAGGCTGCAGGATGATGTCAGGAATCAGTGATGTGAAGGAAAGTTCATAGATAATAGAGAAAGGAAACTGAAAAGCGAGATCTCATTTCAAAGTAGCTAAACACACAGAAATGCATAGCCAAGTCATCCCAGCAACCTTAACTCTGCCTTCATGAAGCTGCGCTCCAAGTAAACTCTGAAACCACAGGAAACTGTTACCTGCCTATAACATACAATATTACACAAGAAACCACAAAAATTTAAGATATAATGGAACAAAACACTACGTTACAAAGAAACAGCACTTTCCTCTTTCCTGGAATAGATATAAAACAAAGCAATTTAATAACATCATGTGTAAGAGACGGTTAAGAGGTCTCCTGGAATCAAGTTTTCATCACCACTGTGGGAAGTTTCAGGGTACAGCAGTCTTGGGATTACTCGGGCTTACTATGAAGTATCCAAAAGAGTGAATGCGCAAATATCATATCCTGGGATATTAAGAGAACTGAGCTAGTGCTACCTTTTCACTGTCAAAAGTAAGACTCCAATTTGGGTGAATACTGTCACTCTATAAATAAAGTGCCAACCTTTTTGCTGTAGCCTTGCATAACAGGAAATCGGGGTGTGGAGCAGCCTTCAGCAAGATAGAGAAACAGTGCATAAACATTTACAGAATTAGTATAAATGGAAATTATTTTTCCTCCTTTTGACTTAAGAATAGATACAATATAACCCAGTCAAGTCACACATACTACAGCGTTAGTAGCTTCCTGACTCATTTGGGAAACCATGCTAGCCACGCTGTAGAAGGGCATCAATAACCGCAAGGATAATGTGACTCTATTAGGAATTTTAGTCACGAGTATTCCAAATCAGAATAAATGTCCAGATCAGATAATCTACACCAAGATCATAAGACTAAGAATCACTGTAAGAGATGGGGAACAGAAAGCAATTACTTTGCTAATGCAATCAAATAATTAATGTTACACAAAGATATCTAAAGAACGATATACAAAGAGGGAATATACTGGTGAAGTGATTTGGAATGGACAAAATGGTGGAGAAAAGCTATAAACTGCCCAGTCTGATCTGAGCAGTTCCACAGTGGGGATGCATCTGTCCTTCTGCTCATGCTGGCATCCAGCTAGGGCTGTAACCTCTTTCCACCAGAGAAGGTTTATCCTCCCTGCTCACTTATTTAGGTGCAAAGATTATTTTACAGAGCCTAAGATACGTTAATTGTCTTTCTAACTTATCCTGTGTCTAATCACAGTTAATTTAGCTTCTTTGTGTAGTATAATTGTGTTTCCATTGTTCTGCTTTCAGGTTCCTCTTTTTCCTCTCCTTACTGCTGATAAAGAGAACCAAACTAAATTTATAGAAAAATATTGTGGGCTTGACAAGGAGAATGGAGTTGTTAACTGGCATGAACAACCAGAATTGTATTAATTGCAGTAAAGCAATTAATCCAGCAACATTAGTCTACAGAAAAAAATACAGAATATTTATGCTTCTCTAACCAAAAAGACATTCAAGGAAAAAGAGAACAAATAAATGTCTCCTTATGCAGCACAATAATGCCTGACAAGAACCTTCACTTTGAAAGCTATTTTTCCATTTACAGATGAGGCATTTTCCCTGTCAGATCCTTGACATAAAATACAATGTGTTATTGCTTCTTCTAGGTTTGCTCCTTCAAATGTTGTTATTATAATTCCACTACTTAAAACATGTATTAAGTTTTAAGGGAACAAGGTACTAAAGCAGGCATGATAAGCATGCACAGCAAGCAACCACAGTCCCATGTAGGCCCAGAGTACTGGGTTCTGGCATTTGAACAAATTGCTTGTGTGCCCTGTGTTCAGGAAGTTTTTGCATAGCTTCCCTGTGGTCTAGTAACATAAATCTAGGTGGCAACAGCAGCAATAGAGTAGATAGCATGTGGTCTACCCTACAGTTTTTCTCATGAACTTTACACTGCATAGATAAACAAAGAGGAACGGAGACACTTTCCACTAGGATTAGTGCACACATGAAACCTGATGAGCCTCCTATTAGCCTAGGTCTAAATTAGAAAGAAGTATATTGAAATGAACAAACCAACACTTACAAAAATTGTGCCTAAATGAGGAGAAACAGACTCATGTAATAAGCAAAGTTGCTTTTGACTGGGTCAACTACCATTGTAAAGCCAGCGCTGTATATAACAGATGATCAACTGTCCAGAAAACCACACAGTTTTTAATTATTTTCATTGAAAGCTGTTCTGAGGACCAGCTACTTTTTTTTTCCAAGGAAAACAGAGCCTTAATTTCAGCTCATCAGCGGCAGCGCTGTGAGTGAAAGGGAGTCACAGGAGCAAATGTGGTTGGATTCAGTGAGGTTTTGCCTTTGCTCTTAGCAACTAAATAGCATAACATCTCAAATGCTCTGATTTCTAGAGCATGCAGAGGAGAGGAATGCTTCAATCTTAGAATCTTAAATTCAGAGATCCTGTCTTTGAGATCTAGGGGTAGGCTTCAGTCTCAGTTTCAGCCAAGTAAATTGCATTATACTTTCCAATGTCAGTGGAGGATCTGTTAGAAGGAAATTAGACTTACACTAATGGAGATTCATCCCACTTCACCTGTCAGCTCAGGTTTTGACTTTACCTTTTGTCCACTCTCACCCTTAATCAACTGTTTCATTTTGTTAATTTCTAGAGCGACTCTTGCAGAAAGACAGCAAGCTGGAAGGATAAAAACAAAACAAGACTTCCAGGCACATGGAAGGCATCAAGTTGCAAGAGTCAGGTGTGAGAAGAGGCTACCAAAGAACCAGAACAGATGGTTCAAATACATTACCAGGATGTCCCAGCTCATGTGCTTCAGGAGATCTGGTAATATCCAGTATATCTACACCACTGAATGGAGCACAGTGCAGAGCAACTCACGCTAGCAGATGTTGGGCCAGTGAGTCTACATGGCACAGCACCGCCCAGACTTACTGGCCGGGGCTGAAATAGCGTTGCTGTGTTAGCACAGCCTTCCACAAACTCAAGCATGCTACTTTCTCATCAGAATTGATGTGTATACAGCCAGCTCTGGTGTCTCTACTGGACTGCGGAGATGTGTCCAAAGGTCAGTGTCTTCTCCATGTCTGTCCACATCCCAAGGGCGGAGCTGTCTAGTTGCATGTGTATATGCAAGCTATGCTGTCATTTCAGCCTCCCATCTGGGATCATTTAGGACAACAGTGAACACGGCTCCAGCAGAAATAGCTCCTAGTCCCACTCCAGCAGTGAACATCCCTCACCCCACCCTGCCAGTGACAAGGCAGAAGAGAAGTAGTCCCACGAGGAGAGGTTAAAATAGCCTCAGCAATAATGTCAATGACAAGGCTGAGGAAAACTCAGGGAACTGAGGTGGCTATGTTACAGATTCAGTATGCAGATCTTCACAAATTATCAAAAGAACCTTTCTCTCTTCTGCTGTGGTATAAATATTTTATTGACTCTTCTCTCACTGCTGGGTAGCTTTAATGACATTTGCCTCCCTGAAGTCCTGAGCTGCTGTAAATCAAGTGCTGTTTTAGACTACTCACCGTGGTCATGGGCAAATACAAACAAGTTAAGTTCTGTCAGCCTCTGGGCCAAGTCATCATAACGGCCGCAGTGTTCCCCAGCACCATGAACGATAAACACGAGGGCCCTAAATGGAGCATGAAGGTATAAATTGTTAACTTGGCAATCATCCCACAAAGGCTTCAGAGTTGCAAGGAAAAACAGCATATTACACTTAGCAATAGCGTTTCAGAAATCAACAAATACAAGGCAAATAAATAATGACTGAGGTGGGCTTTAACAGGGGAGAAAAGATTGTCATCCTGATCTACCATCAATCTGCTTCACCTGGCTTGCTGGTAGTAGGATTGATAGAAGACAGATGCATACAGGAGAGATTTGTCTGTCACCATGGTCTTCTACAAGTTGAAGATGCAGGCAGGTATCAGCAACAATCCTTGACCTGGCTAACTACATACTGGGCTGGAGGCTTCTACTGCTGCTCCTACAGTAGAATGTTGCCACTGATTTCAACTGGGATTCATATTTCTCTGTGCTTTCAAACACAAATGTTGTACTTAACTTTTTAGCTTGTAACACTGATGCCACAGAGTCCTGCTAAAGATGAAATTTCAGCTAAAGAATAGCTCTCAAATAGAATGCAGAACTTTGGTTGGAGTTCAGAATTGTATCTTTTGACCCAAATTCTGGGTCAATTTTACCATTCCAGTTTCTACTGCAAAACAATTGTTTCACTTTGGAGATTAAAGTGACTCTTACATAATTACAGCACAACTAGAGTCAGGGATTATAAAATACACAATCTAATGGACGCTTCTTTTTGAAAGGCACTATGAAAATACTTATCTTCAAAGATTCCAGTTTTACCAATGGTGTTCAACTTTCACTGGAACATCATCAAATGAGAGTGATTAAAGTTAAATGAAACTTCTCACTGTTTTTACCAGGTAAAATTTGTAAAGAACTATTATAGCAAAAGTAGCAAGGACATTATGTAAGTTTTGCTGAATTCGACAAGCGACTTTTTGAAATCCAGCTCTAGCAACGTAAACCTAACTTGTTCATTTAAAAGTACCATCTGTCATCAGAACATCAGCAAACACAAAACTGACTGAAGGCTACGAGTTAGGGATTTTCAGTACCTTAACGATTAAACTTTAAATGAGCTGACAATATAGAAGAACAACACCAGTTTACAGCGAGTGAATTCCTCAACTTTATTTTGATCAAGGTTTTGAATACATTTATAGACAATGTATTCACTGGAATAAACTGCTTTGATCTTAATATATTTAAACTTAAAAAAGATGTTGGATGATGCAGAAACTACCGCTCTAGCTCTTTCATTAGTACCTGCTTCAAAGTATTTGCTAATGCTAGATAACTTGAAAGAGCATCCATCCAAATCGGAAGGATTTTACAGAGCAAAGAGCAAAAGCTAAAGCAGTAATGCAAAGATGCTCTAGTTTCTGTCTAATACTAATTAGCAATGGTGAGGTTAGGTTATGTTCCATATTTAACTTACTGTGCCTAACAAATGCTTTTTAATGTCACTAAAGGTTTCAACATGATCGATGTGGAGCACGCTTTTCCTCCCTTGTCATCTTCCCTTGTCAATACATTTGTGAAATTATCAATGCACTTGCCAGACTGTCTGGTTTTCAGGATGTCGGTCAGACGTCCAAGCTAGAGTGCAACACATGTTATTAGAAGTACAAATACTGAAGAAATCTGAAGACACTGCTTATGCCACAATAGAGACTATAAACTTTCTGCAGCTGGGACATCATTGCTCTGTGCATCCTACCTCTCCCAGAGACATGCAGAAAGATTCCTAGACTGCTTGCCTAGGACTCCGATGCAGAATTAAGTAAGGAAATGTGAGAGAAAATTCCTGTATACTCATCGCCCTGGTATCCAGCAGAATCAGTTAGGCTATGTCTCCCTGCCTACGCCTCCAATTAGCCGGCTTTTGACAGCTTCCCCGCTTAGTGCCTTGCTTAAGCCCTCTGCTACTCTTTAGAGACCCTGTGTTTTTTCTGCTGACTAGGCACAGAGATTAAGGTGCAACTTGGCTGACTGAATACAGCCCTTGATTTCTCAGAGAAATATTATTTGGATTTATGAACTGAAACGCATCAAGTGAATGAAACCTAATGGGAAGCTGGTAAAGAGAGCTCTGCCAGGCAATACTTGCTGTTATTTCATCCCCTCTGACAGCAAAGGCCTAATTTTGCTTTCATTCACACTGATGCAGCACCATGATTTTGCCTGACAGCATCCTGCAAGATGCTCAGCCCCCTCATCTTCTGTGAAACCACTGAGAAGAGAAAAAACTCTATGCTCCAGAGACACAAGGTGATCCTGCAAATGTTCCTCAGGACTAGTTCTCATTCTAGGAAGACAATTGTCCAGCATAGTGGAACTGAGACTTTGGACACCACAGGAAAGAGACCTGGCTTACTATTTGCCTGCAGAACACTGAATAAAATTCCTGAGAACGTTTGTGCCTTAAAAGCCCTAATGCCAGTGACTGTCAAGAGGACTTAGATATTTTTTGAAGTTTTGTCCTATGAATATGTTATGTCAGAAATAAGGAGTAAAATTTCCATGTTGCTATGTCCAAATAGAAGTAGCTCTTCTTTGCTGTTGTTCAAAAAAAGTGTGAGTGGCTTTACTGACTAAAAATTAGGTCAGCTCTACACAGGTCTCTAGGTCCAGCTTTAAGGTGTAAGCATAGGGTCCATACATTAAACATACAGCCTTGAAAAGCTGAAATCAGTATAAGCATCATCCGAGCAAGGACTGAAGGATTCAGCTCTTTCATCTGAGTGCAGTGTAACAAATATATGGTGTACATATTTTCACTAGCAAGGTGGCATGAAAATGCAGCTAGTGATTAAATTCACTGACAGCATTTCTTTACTGTATGTAAACATTTTTGCAGCTACCCCTTCTCCTGAATCACGGTGTGCTCTTTCCTATCACAATGGCTGAAAAGGAAGAAATACCATAACAGAATATCAGAGACTGTTTTCAATAGAGGGGTTTCTGTAAGTCATTCCAATTAATACAGAAACCCTGCAGGCTTTAAGATGTTGTAGGACCACAGCACCTCTGTGCATGATCTCAATGGAAGTTTTGCATAGTTGGCCTTGTATGAAATCGATACTGGGAAGAAATTTCTTCATCTCCCACTTTTGTAATGCTGCTGGTGAAATCTTTGGAAAATGGCATGTCTCAGGTAGAAAATATTGTGTGAAGGCTGATCTATGCCTGAACCCCTGGTAACTTCATGCGGGCTGTAACCTTAGGAAGGGGAACCTTCATGTATCTTTGGATGCTTCAGCTGGCTTTGGCTGCTGGAACTGTTATTGCTAAACATCTCCATACAGCATTGTTTTGGCATCTGTTCAAGAAGGCACCTAGCTTGCACTTAATTATACAACAGCACAATTCTCTGGAATCTTTAGGTGTGCCTGCACAAAGCCAACATGCGAGCTGCAGCATGAGTAGGAACCCATGTGCTAGTTCTCACCTAGCTGATGCAAGTAACAATCATGGCTATTAAAGGAAACCAATGTATTAACTGCTGCTTGCAAAAACAATAATTTTCAAAGATCCCTGCCCTTCCCATAGCCTCTTCCTCCTGCCTCTCCACTGCAGGTTTCTATCTCCTGGTACTGCACAGCCTGGCAAACAGATGGGGTTACTTAGTACGCTGAGGGGGCAGAACAATATTTGTTTCTTCCTGTTCAAATCAAGTACTGTTGTGCTTACTTATCTTCCATAGGAGGTGACGGCATATACCAGTGGCCAATCCCTGCTTCCACATCTCCACTGTGTTGGTCACACATGACTCGTAGCGATTCCTCTTCCTGTGTTGCAATCACACCTTGCTAAGTAAGCACTACACAGACATCCTGCACGTGCACTTGGTATCGGGCACGTACTTTCCTGAATAAGGGCAGCTAGGAGTGGCAGAAGTCAGACTATGTCGTGATGCAATCAAAGGTGGTGTGCATGAAAGCATATGAATGCATTGTCTCTCTTTCCTGCTTCTCTGAGAAGTCACCAGTCAGTCGAAGCTTAAGCTATTTTCAACCCTTGTATATTGATCACTATAACTACAAATAATTAATATATTACTTCTGTATATGTAGAGGTTTAAGCAAAATTCATCAGACATTAGTGCCCAGGCCAGCAGGGAGCAGCTCTTGCAGGGCAGGAATTCAGGAACAGGTGCAATAGCAGACCTAGTTCTCGAGATTCCCACCTTCCTTATTACTGGCCACATGTTGCCACCTCCGCATCACCGTTAACTTCCTCCTCTGCTGTGTTAGTACAATTCTTTACAGGTTATTTCATCCGTTCAGTTTATAATGCAATTCCCCAATCACTTGCAACAGAAAAACTAAGGGGAAATGAACAGTAGCATAGAGCTCACGCAAACAAACAAGAGCAGAGCCCTTTTAAATCAGGCCTCTGTTATTAGAAAAAACATACCTTGAAACTACATAAAAAAGCTGACATGCTATGAAATCTGGCAGACCAGAAACAAAATTTAGGACTTGGATCCTTCCAGGGCATAAGACACATATTCTTGCTTTATTTTATTAATTGGGACAGGGCCACAAAAAACATGTTGGAACTGAACTAGACAAGGGAAGTTGTGAGTGGGATGATATGATTTTACTTCTTGAGTCTTCCAGGGCCAGAGGCACTTCTGTAGGACCTTGTGCATGGTCTTCTGTCATCAGAAAAAAAACTGAAGCACTGGGCTTAGAACAAAGAACTGAAGAAAAGCTTTCTAGGACCACATACACAAAAAATTCAATCTCTTCCACTCCGTTCAAAAGCATCCCTCTTCAGAACAATATTTAAGTATTTGCTTAATATCAAGAAACACCCTTAAATCATGGCATTCACTAGGACTTATGAAATATGAGATTAAATTTAAAAAAGGGTATATAAATGCTGTCCTGAATAAGGGCTGATTTAATCACATGCAAAACTCCTTTCCTGAATCAGACCCTTGCAACTTAAACTAATGCCATGTTATTCTACGCCAGACAATTTTATTGTGTTTTCATTTCGTTTAGTATGCAAAATCAGATCAACTCTAAC